GGTCTACGGTCTCCGCCAGGCGCCACGTGAGTGGCACGACACACTGAGGACGACACTTGCGGCTCTTGGGTTTGCGCCTTCTACTGCTGACCCGTCGCTGTTTCTGCGCACAGACACTTCACTGCCGCCGTTCTACATCCTCGTGTACGTCGACGACTTGGTTTTTGCCACTGCTGACACTGAGGCTCTCGCCCACGTGAAGTCGAAGCTGCAGAAGAGACACACGTGCACTGACTTGGGTGAGCTGCGCAGCTACCTTGGCTTGCAGATCACCCGGGACAGAGCACGCCGCACCATCACCTTGACTCAGTCACACATGGTGCAGCAGGTCCTTCAGCGCTTCGGCTTCACCTGGTCTTCAGCACAGGCCACTCCTCTGGCTACAGGTCACACGCTCTCAGCTCCACCTTCGGACGAGTCCGTAGAGCCGAGTGGTCCTTACCCAGAGCTAGTCGGCTGCCTCATGTACCTGATGACTTGCACTCGACCTGACCTCGCGTACCCTCTTGGTCTCCTCGCTCGCTACGTGGCTCCTGGTCGACACCGACCTGAGCACATGGCTGCTGCTAAGAGGGTACTGCGCTACTTGTGCAGCACATCAGGCATGGGGCTAGTGCTTGGAGGGACGAGCCCAGTTGTCCTCACTGGGCACTCAGACGCTTCTTGGGTTGACGACCTGGCTACTCAGCGGTCGTCACAGGGTTACACATTCAGCCTTGGCTCTGGTTCAGTTTCGTGGCGTTCTACACGCTCGTCTTCAGTTCTCGGCTCCAGTTGTGAGGCTGAGATCTACGCCACCGCCATGGCTGCACAGGAGTTACGCTGGCTCACCTACCTGCTGACTGACTTGGGAGAGCAGCCTCGTTCTCCTCCAGTGCTGTACGTTGACAACAAGGCCGCCATTGCCTTGTGTGAGGAGCACAGACTGGAGCACAGAACGAAGCACATTGCTCTGCGTTACTTCCTGGCTCGAGAGTTGCAGCAGCGAGGCCAGCTTTGTCTTCGTTACGTGGCCACTCGGGCCAACACTGCTGATATATTCACCAAGGCACTTCCGTCTGGTGATCATCAGCGCTTTTGTACTCTGTTAGGCCTTGTGCCTACGCTTCCACACTTGCTGTAGTCTTTGCTTGTACTGTGATCTATATATATATATACCTGCATGCTGGCTCTTGCTAGGTAGCTCGACACTGTACTGTCATTGCTGCATATATATCTCTGCATGTGAACTGGCCTTGTGGCCATTTGCTTGTGCTCAGAATGTGTGGTGACGTTGTGATCCACCCTGAGCTTGTTTTGTTTCTCTTGACTGGTCTTGTGACCCGTTGCTCTCCCCCACTTTGCCTATGGGGGTGTGTCAAATGATATATATGTGTGATACATATTGGTAGGCTGTAGTGGGGTAGATGTTATAGGGGATAACCCCTTAGGGTTTTCCTACTTGTAAAATTTCTCTCGATAGTGAACACCACCTTGCCTATCTATCTCAACAGCATGCTCATATGTGAAACCTCCTTCAATATTCTATCTCCGCCCCTTCTGCACTTTATACACCCATAAACCCCCTGCAGACTCGTGTAGCAAAACGGATTGCGAGTGAGTGCACGTATGGCGTGGGAGTGAGTCAAATGCGACTGGCTGACTGGTTGAATATTATCAGGGAGCTGTGCTCTCATGCATTCAGGAAAGAGGAGCCTTACCCGTTTCTTGTGCAGTCAGAATAGAGGAGCCTTTAAGCTAGACTCAGCTATCGCCGCCCAAAGTGAACCATTGCTTCTCCTTCCTTAGCCGTTTCCTGTCCATTCTTCTTCTCCCTTACCCGTAGCCCACGTGAGTGTGGTGTGGGTGAGTGCATAGTTGGCAACCATAAGCAAGGGTTCCATTCACCAAGGCCTATTGCTCTACTCACCTCGTCTCGGAAACACCCGTGGCTTCCTCTGCAGACCCGTGTGTGGCGAACCCCCTGGATTGTGGCACTGATGCTTCCTGCGTGGCGCATGGAAATTACGACCCCTCGTGCGTGTGCAGAACGAGAAGTTTTCTCTTCAACGAGCATGACAAGACGTGCTCTGGTGAGTGCTGCACTGCTGAGACCTAGACGATACACATCCTTACACACGTCCATTTCTGCAGACATTGCTGAGATGCATTGCTGAGCCATTTTCGTCTCCTCACTCCTCCCGCACCTTCCTTCCTGCCTGCCCTCTTCTCTCCTTTTCCCTGTCCCACCGTCCCACCTCCAACTCCACGCCTCCAAACCCCCGTCACCACCACCTTTGCCACCCGGCCCGTGGCATCGTCACATTATTTTTTTCTGCCAACTGCCTTATCGGCCGCTCAGACCCGTTGGTGCGGACGGCGGTGCAGCTGAGTGGGCGCAACATCAAGCATCGTATCGCTTTCTTCACAGATGAACCAGCGGAGCAGGCCAGCGGCAGCACCGTGTGCACCACGCTGGTCAGCAGCGTCAAGATCACCATCGTGTGGGATGATCCGAAGCTCGCCGGGGTTGGCGACGGCATGTGCAAGAGCCTGACGCTTTATTCTGCCTTGAAAATGCACCGGCCAGCCAGGCCTCACAATCGCACGTCCTGCGAAGAAGGGCCGTTCCTACCCCGTCACGAAAAGGTGTGTGCGTGTGTGTGATGCGCGCGCGTCGCATGTGTGATGCACACTCTGTAATGTGTATTGGAGTGACTGTCGTGATTAGTCCTCATTTTCTGTCTTCCCCATCCTTACCTCTCCCTCTCTCAGGTCTGTCAAAGCAGCTTATTCATCGGGATCAGTTGGCTGTGTTATCAGTAAGTGCGTGCATGCATGGACTAATGTTAGCATCACTTCACCTAACATATGTCACGTGCATACTACAGAAGAAGTCCAAGCACGCTATTGTGGGTTCTACTCATTCTGACACAATTAACAACATGGGAGAGATATGACAAGAGAGAGCCAGGAACACACATCAACCACTTTCATACAATTCTCGTCTTTGCCTCCCGATGCCTGAATAGTATTGCCTTTATCCAAGTATCTGAATAGTAATATCCTCTGTGCTGCCAACAACAGCCACGTGCCACATGGATTGTGGAGCTGCTGAGTGCGTTGTGAAGGACAGCAAGCAGCAGTGCCAGTGCTCCGAGGGCCTCGTGTTCAACGCAGCCATGAAGCTCTGCTGCGACCCGTTCCCTGCTCGTAAGTGCAGTGTCGTTTGCTGCATGCTTGCCAGCAAGAAAGAATCAACCGGGCAGCATATCTTGCTGCATGCTTGCCGCTACCGTTCCCTGCTCGTAGGTGCCATGTTGCTTGTTGCATGGCTTTCAACAAGAAAGGAAGAAGCAACCAGGCAGCTTGTTTTGAATGAACCGGGCAGCTTCATTTTAACACTTTCATGCCGGTCAAGCCAAGAAATGCAGGCTCTGCACTGGTGAGCTGACCAGGGATTGTTGGAGAACAAGAGGGACAGAGGGCAAGAGGGCAAGAGGCAGTCCAGCTTTTGCGAGGCAGTGCTTCATGTGAGTCATTACCATTCCATCCCTCGCTCGCGTTCTCCCCACCTGCTGCTTTATCCAGCCTCATGCTCTTTCCCTTCTCCCCCACCCCCCGCCTCCCAACGCCACCAGCCAAGTGCAAGCCTGCGTGACTGGTGGAGCCCAGTGCACTGCACTAAAATTGAAGGTCCCATTTCCAGCCAAAATGGGTCCTTTTCGGGTCCTTTGGGGGTCCTTTCGGGACCCTACATAAAGACTCAATTCGGATTCGAATAATGGGTCCTTTCTGAGTGCTCTGGAGGATCCTCTAGGGGTCCCAAATGGGTCCGAAAACACTCCCGAAACAGTCCGGAAGGAATGCTCAACCAGACAAGACGCGGCAGACGCATCCATTGTACTCGTGTTACAAAAATTGGCACATAGTAACCACTTCTTAATTATACAGACATATACAATGATAACAAAAACAAAAAGAGCACAAGCAGATTCTAACAAACTAACAAATTTGAGATTTTGTATCTGAAAGTACTGCACAAACAATAAACTGCATCTTGTTAATTGATCTGCAACTTAAATTTTCTGCACACAAGAAATAACATTTAGAAAGCTTGCTTTCTTGTGTTTGCAATGGCAACAATCTTCGTTTCAAATGGGCATTACAACATTCTCGTCCCGACTTTATATATGGCACCTACATTACAAATTGCAACATGCATTTTTTGCTAGGGTGGGTGGGTGGGAAATAAGACCTTTGAAATTTCAAACGAAGACGTGGGTGGAGGCCAAATGGCCTCCACCCCCTGCTATATAGTTGGCGAAGAGCGTCTAGCACTTCGCCGTTGCCATTGCTGCATTACAAGCAGCTTCGCTTTCAAAATACACATTTTTAGAAAGTGTTACACACTTTCAAAAAACTTCATATTTAGAAAGCTTGCTTTCTTGTGTTTGCAATGGCAACGTGCTTCGTTTCAAATGGGTCTTCTGAGACATGAGACGGTGTCATGCTGACGAGATGGTAAAGGTTGTTTATGGCTTATGAGATGACGTCGGTGGAGTTCCAAACACGCACGAAGGAGAGGCTGGCACCAATGTTGATGGTGATGCTGTATTCACTGCTGTTGCCTTGGATGGAGTGTTGCCCCAAGTGAGTGTAGCACAGTAATGTTGATTTATGAAAGTTGGCTGACACGTGAGCTTCGGACACGAACTTGCAAGCAGTATGGGAGGACTCGGGCAGCGAGCGTTGGTGTTCTGTGTGTGATGGATGCGATGCTTGTAGGAGCCCAACCCTTGTGTCCGGGTACGGTAAATCTGCCGGCGTGTGTGTGTGTGCTTTTTTCTTTTTTTTTTTTTCTAACCGCTAGAGTTGTGCACCATTTCAAACTCACCACAAGATTTTTCAATCAACCAACTCAAGTTTGACCGCATCCGAACCTTGCACTTTGAGGCTTTCAAAGCCTAAGGTATTTGAGAAGTATAACTAAATTGTACAACCATGAACCTATCCTACAAATGGCCCACAGGCCAGACAGGGACCCACCGGTCCTCCTCCCCCCTGGGGAGCTCGCTGGCCAGCACCGCACAGGACCCACCGGTCCTCCTCCCCCCTGGGGAGCTCGCTGGCCAGCACCGCACAGGACCCACCGGTCCTCCTCCCCCCTGGGGAGCTCGCTGGCCAGCACCGCACAGGACCCACCGGTCCTCCTCCCCCCTGGGGAGCTCGCTGGCCAGCACCGCACAGGACCCACCGGTCCTCCTCCCCCCTGGGGAGCTCGCTGGCCAGCACCGCACAGGACCCACCGGTCCTCCTCCCCCCTGGGGAGCTCGCTGGCCAGCACCGCACAGGACCCACCGGTCCTCCTCCCCCCTGGGGAGCTCGCTGGCCAGCACCGCACAGGACCCACCGGTCCTCCTCCCCCCTGGGGAGCTCGCTGGCCAGCACCGCACAGGACCCACCGGTCCTCCTCCCCCCTGGGGAGCTCGCTGGCCAGCACCGCACAGGACCCACCGGTCCTCCTCCCCCCTGGGGAGCTCGCTGGCCAGCACCGCACAGGACCCACCGGTCCTCCTCCCCCCTGGGGAGCTCGCTGGCCAGCACCGCACAGGACCCACCGGTCCTCCTCCCCCCTGGGGAGCTCGCTGGCCAGCACCGCACAGGACCCACCGGTCCTCCTCCCCCCTGGGGAGCTCGCTGGCCAGCACCGCACAGGACCCACCGGTCCTCCTCCCCCCTGGGGAGCTCGCTGGCCAGCACCGCACAGGACCCACCGGTCCTCCTCCCCCCTGGGGAGCTCGCTGGCCAGCACCGCACAGGACCCACCGGTCCTCCTCCCCCCTGGGGAGCTCGCTGGCCAGCACCGCACAGGAGCAACCGGTCCTCCTCCCCCCTGGGGAGCTCGCTGGCCAGCACCGCACAGGACCCACCGGTCCTCCTCCCCCCTGGGGAGCTCGCTGGCCAGCACAGGACCCACCGGTCCTCCTCCCCCCTGGGGAGCTCGCTGGCCAGCACCGCACAGGACCCACCGGTCCTCCTCCCCCCTGGGGAGCTCGCTGGCCAGCACCGCACAGGACCCACCGGTCCTCCTCCCCCCTGGGGAGCTCGCTGGCCAGCACCGCACAGGACCCACCGGTCCTCCTCCCCCCTGGGGAGCTCGCTGGCCAGCACCGCACAGGACCCACCGGTCCTCCTCCCCCCTGGGGAGCTCGCTGGCCAGCACCGCACAGGACCCACCGGTCCTCCTCCCCCCTGGGGAGCTCGCTGGCCAGCACCGCACAGGACCCACCGGTCCTCCTCCCCCCTGGGGAGCTCGCTGGCCAGCACCGCACAGGACCCACCGGTCCTCCTCCCCCCTGGGGAGCTCGCTGGCCAGCACCGCACAGGACCCACCGGTCCTCCTCCCCCCTGGGGAGCTCGCTGGCCAGCACCACACGGGAGCGCATGGAGTTGTGCCAAATGTTTGCCGTAGTCTTTCTTCGCCGAGGTTTTTCACGGCGACCCAAAGCTATGGTAGTTGCCTCGCACCGATTTAATGCGACCAGAAAATAATAAATAACACGAGAAAAACGAAGACAAACAAATATCGAAGATACGTACGAAGAAAAGGTGGAAACATGCATGGTAATAAGTTATCCGTTGACAAATTTAGAAAGCTTGCTTTCTAATAATTATCATTTGGCATCGTTCTCATTTCAACTGGGCATCGTTCTCATTTCAACTGGGAAATTACAACATGCACCTCGAGCTAGACAATATAAGCGCTAGTACATGTCTTGATACTTCCTATCAATCAGTCGTCAAGCTATCAATCCTAATAGGTGTGCGCTAACCCACATTGTTCCACTTGTGTCCTCCTGTGTAAGTGGCGGCCTTGATGTCCATCGGTGTTGGGCGGGGGGTGGGAGAGTTGCATGAGCCGTTTGAAAAATGAGAGACGTGGGTGGAGGGAAATGAACTCCAACCCACGATTTGTAGTTGGAGAAGGGCGTTTAGCGCGCTTCGACGATGCCAAATTCCCGTTACAGTCAGCTGCGCTTTCGAAATACGTAATTTTAAAAAACACTATGTGTGTTTAAAAATTATCATATTTAGAAAGCTTGCTTTCTAATAATTATCATTTGGCATCGTTCTCATTTCAACTGGGGTCTCTGAGACATGGGCAGCGGGGGTTTTCGATGACGGACGAGTGCCTCTGCGTGCTGTGCTGAAGAAGGGGCGTAGGCCAGATCTTGCAGCTGGCGGGAGGCGCTGATGAGATGTTCGGCGTTGGGCGTGACGTACATCTCCTTCGCTGTATCGCTGCGCCATCTGCCCAGTCGTTTGAAGATTCTGTCCGGCACGCCGGTGTTCGCCGCAGCAGTGGCTGCTCCTTTGCGAAAGGAGTGAGTGCCCAGCTGCTGTTCCCCTAGTCCGATCTTCCCAAAGGCTTCTTTGCACCAGTTCCGGATCGTCGGGTAGGACGGCGACCTTGCTTGGCCTTGTAGTGAGCCACGTCCAAAGATGCGAATCAGCGGCCCTGCGGACTGTCGGTCGTATCCCGCGAGTTGGATGAGCCGTCGGGTGCAGCGGACAGGGCAGAAGGGATCATGAGTTGCGGCGATGGGTATCCATGTGCCCCTTCCAGCTTGGTCCGTCTTGGAGTACGGGATTAGGATCCACATGACCTCACTGTCGAACTGGATGTCTTGCCACTCGATGGCAATGAGGTCCGAGTATCTTAGGAAGCCAGTGAACATGAGGATAGGGATTAGCCCCTTTTGGAACTCCCCGGGGTTGTCGGACTGCAGGTAGCTCGCAGACATGTCGTGGACCTGTTGCAGCGAGACAGGCTCCTTCACTCGTGTGGGGCGAGGACAGTGTCGTTTCGCGAAGTCGCGTACTTGAGTGGTGAATGGGCCGGTCGTTGGGCATGTGCTCCCAGTCATGCGGTGTGCAAAGCTCACCGCTGAGCATGTAAGTTGTACCATGGGCAGTGTGGCTCTGTGTTGGATAGCGTACACCAGGTACAGCGCGAGGGTCATGTCCGACGTGGGAAGGAATGGGAGGTTGACCTTTGCACAAAATGCTCGAAACTTGACCCAGTATGGCTCGTATGTTCGGATCGTTGAATCGGCCCGAGACTGTGAGAGCATCTTTAATAGTTGGACTTGTAGCTTCGGTAATACGTCTGCGCGAAGGCGTGCAGGTTGGGTTAGTCGAAGACCACTCGTAGTGCAATGATTGTGCTATGAGGCAGTCCTATGCCTGAAAAGGCAGTGCGGTGCGTTCCTACTGCTAGGCATTGGCTGCCGTGCGTTATGGGAATGTGCGCTCGGACGTGCGGGGCCCAGCTAGGTGGGGAGGGTTGTAGCAGTGGCCACCAGTTTGCCCCCGTCCAGTGGGGGACGATTAGGGTGAATGATGCATTGGTGCGTTGTGCGTGGCGGATGACTGCCGGGATCAGTTGGGGTGGTGGGAACGCGAAGCCATTCTCGTTTGTCCACGAGCATGAAAATGCATCAACCACGGTAGCCTTGGGGTGTGGGATCTTCGAACAGAATCGTGGTAGCTGCGTGTTGTGATGGTTGGCGAAGAGGTCGATTGAATGCGGTCCCCAACGGCGATCAAGGATCCGGAACCATGGTTGCTTCAAAGAGTAATCATCCTGGTCGATCAGCTTTGACAGCTCGTCAGCATGGGAGTTAAGCTCTCGCGGGATCCATTCGACGATTAGTCGAGTGCCGAGCTTCATGCAGATACGGATAATGTCCTTGCAAGCGGTGGTCAGGTCGGGGGTGCGGGAACCGCCTTTGCGAAGGATGAAGAAGACCCCTTGGTTGTCCACCCTTACGAGCACGTGTTTTTGTTGGACCTTGTTCGCATACGTTCGGATGGCCCAAAGGACACCCTCGATTTCTCGTCGGGTACTGGACGTTGCTTGCAGTGGTGCTGGCATGGCTGCACTGGCTTCTTCAAGTTCGCCAGGGAAGGTGAGCAAAGTGGCACCCCAACTGTGGGAACTGGCGTCCACGTGGATTACAGCGTCGTAGCTATTCCGGACGTGGAATGGTGCGCCATTAAATTTGTCAAACTCCTCGAGCCAGAATTGCAACTCCTCCGCCACAGGTGGGGAAATGCTCACACTGCTTCCCCAGGACGGCGCGTCGTTGATCGTTTGTAGCATGGCGTGGCTGAACGCGCGAGTCGTAGCACCTAGCGCGACAGCCATTGACGCGAGCGTGCCCGTGATTCTGGCGAGGTGGCGGACTGGAACCTGTCGACGTGCTTTGCTTGCGCTCAATAGATTCTGAATGTGTGCATGAAGTGATGCTCGTCGATCGGTGCCAATAGAAAATTGTCCCAAGTTGGTATCCAGCTCGACGCCCAAGAATCGCAGCTGTTGTGACGGGGACAACTGTGATTTTTTCGCGTTGATCACCAAACCTGCCATCTTGAGGTCCGAGATTATCATCTGGCATGTTGCCTGTGCATGTGCCTTGGACGTGCATAAGAACAAGATGTCGTCCACGTAGGGAACAACTCGAATGCCTTGTTCGCGCCAGCGCCTGGCTAATTGTTTGATGAGTTGTGTGAAGACAAACGGTGCTGTTGCGAGGCCGAAGGGCAGTGAGCGAAAGGAGTACGTGCGCCCCTCAAATTCGAAGCCGAGGAATTTCCAGCAAGAGTGGTGTATGTCGACATGATGGTATCCGGATTTTAGGTCGATGGAGAACATCCAGTCTCCTATGCGCGCCAAGTCGGCGACGCGGCTCAATCCCTCGTATTTGAATTTCGGAATGATCAGGTGCTCGTTCACTTTCCGAAGGTCGAGAATAAGCCTGCATTTGTCACGTTGCTCGACCACGTTGAGAGGGCTGATGCATGTAAGCTCCGCTGCCGGGGTAACGACCGCCGCTCCGGTCTCCGTCAGTTCGCGAATGGCCATGCGCGTGAATGCCGCGTGTGTGTGTGCGCCGAGATGGTTGCGTTCGTGAAACGGTTGTGGAGGGTTGTGTCTCCATGGTAGCCAGTAGCCATTGGCGATGACCGAGAGGATGAGGCTACTTGGGCACCACGAGCTCCACCATACAAGGGTTGCGCGAAGCCTCCCGCGCATTCGCGTGACGGTCTTGTCTGTGACGGCGAATTCGTACGGATCATCGTCGTCTAACATCTCCTCGCTTGTTGCCTCTGCATGTTTGCGGAGTGACAATGGGGCAGGATTGCAAATTGAGGTTCTTATGGATATGATACACATCCTTCATGTGTGAAGGGTAGGTGCATGCGATGGGTGTATGCGCATTGACCCATTCGAATAATCATTTGTCGGCAATTACATCCGCATTGTACGCCCTCGTTTTTTTTTTTTTTTTTTTTTTTTTTGGCATCCCTCAACCAAAGAGCGGGTGTGAGTCTTCCCGCACGGTCACGTGATCACAGTTGTGCCTCGTGCCTTCCATTCGACTCTCCTCCCTCTCCCTCTCCTTGTTTATCTTTGGCTTGCTCCCTC